TTTTTTTTTTTTTTTTTTTTTTTTTTTTTTTTTTTTTTTTTTTTTTTTTTTTTTTTAATAATTATTTATAGAAATGTACTACCATTGGTTTATGCACAATAAACAGTTGTATACAATTTAATCATGATGAGGACGGATGATTTAATTTAAGATGTGTGGATATTAATGTTTTATTCATTTATTTTGGGAATTTTATAAATTAATCATTATATTATATTTGGGAAGGATGGAGTTTTCATTGGAAGAAGGATTTAAATTTCTAAGGTCTTTGAAAATTCTTTGTATAGTATATTCAAACCACTGTTGTCATATTTCTCTTTATGGAGAAATCAAGGAGGCTATCAAGGATTTTATCGGGCCTGCTCATAAGGTGCATAAGGTTTTGTCGAGTATGCTCGTATGGTACGTAATCCTCTAGTATCTCACTCAACTAGTAATTGTATGATATCGATTCTCTTTGGTTCAACTAAGATCAGGTCTGAATTTCCTACGCTAGAGAAAAAGAATGAATTGGTTTTGAAGAGCCATAGAGGTTGGTTTAAAGTGAATATATATATTTATTTTTTTTCGTTTTTCTCCATTTTCATAACCAAATCGTGAAAATATAAATAGATACGAATTATTATATGATGTCCATCGTCCATCACCAGGCCTTCAATCTACTACACTCAGCTTCACCGAACCCAACTCTCTTATTGGCCAGATCGTACTCCACCCACATATTCTTTTGATGAATGATCCCGATTATATTACTCTCAATCACAAGTCTATCTGACCGTCCGATCCCCACGCACTTCACTCCTTTTTCCACTTCCGTCAATAACCCTTCTCCTTTCCCGACCAATATCTCCACCCCATTCTCAAACTTGAACCACATGTTGCCAATTCTCCGACCCACCACCGCCGCCTCTGCGCCGTCGAAACACATGTCGACGGCGGCGTATTCATATGCTTTTTTCATCATGGGCCCCACTAATCTCACTATCTCTGCTCTAACCTTGCTGTAAGCTTCATCTACCAAATAAGTCAAATCCGAGCCGGAGTCGATCATGGTCTGACCGGCGCCAGATGGGTCCGGTTTGAAAACGGCCCGCGAGATGTTGAGGTGGTTTTTGCCTATTCTAATCCCATTCATTGGGAGGGTGTAGGCCAACTTGTCAAGATTCGTGGAGCGTCGACTTTTGGTGAAAGTCAACATTTTGACGTATTTGAATTTACCCGAATTTGGGTTGTCTCCGAGGTAGAACAACCCGGTTGGATCCGACCCGATTCGATCCGGGACACAATAAGAAAACTTGGTTATTCTGGCCTGGGAGATGAAGGAGAGGCGTCCCTTATTCATTCCCAACATACCCCTGTTTTCGGTGGAGGTCGTAGCGCAGCCGAGAACGAGGGAGAGGGTAGTTAAGGAATTAGAGAAGGTGATTTTTTCAGTGACGAGATTACCCTCAGCCAAGGTCCCATCGCCGTAGAAGTATGAGTAGTGGCAGTGGCGATGTCGGTCACAAGAAGTAGGAAGGGTAAAATCGGGAATTCGGGGTTTGCAGAGAGAGTTGTTGCAGGGGAGGTGAGAGAAAGTGGAGGAGAGATAAGGGTCAAACCGATTAATCACTGACTCTGTCCTTACTTTTCCGTGGCATTGAACCCAAGAGAGTTGGCTGCCGGTGTCTAGCACCATGTCCATCGGCTGCGGCGGCGACCCAACGGGGAAAGAGACCACCAGGGCGTTGGAGTATTTGAAGGGGAGCTTCGTGGAGTCATGGGGTGAGGTTTTGGAGGAGAGGGAAAAGGAGGGTTCTTGGGAGAGAGGAAGGGAGGTGAGAGGGAAGGAGAGAGAGAGGGAGTTTGATTGGGAGAATAGGAGAGAGAATAGGGCCAGAAAGAGGAGAGAGAGAGGCATGATTATGGGTTTCCGATGGTTTCGACGTTGGATATGTCACACCATCCAAATTCAAATACACCGAAACAAATAAATAAAAAAAAAGAACAGTTTAGAACCTTAAGCCATGTTTTTGTATTCGATATATTATATTTTGACAGTGGATTATATCCAATGTGTTTTTGGAATTCATTGGTGTTGGAATTATATAGAGAGTAAAAATGAAAGAGAGGATAAAATATATGTACGGGGGAATTCAAAAACCCTATTTTAAGGTAGTATACAAATTAGCCTCCAATTTTAGGACGGTAAAATTATTTATTTTTAGTTTGCCTTTGAATAGGATTTGAATATGTAATTTTTCTTTTTTTTTTTTTTTTGCTAATAATATAATTGTAGATTTAACTTAGATGAGTTTGGGAGTTGGTTTCTAAACTAAATCTCCAGAAATTTAGTGACTACTTAGGTTAACGGATTTAGTGGGTTTGCTATTGGATTGGTTGGATGAATTTGTATGAAATATGAACGACTTGTGCTCTATGACCCCAACCGCATCATGCTTTGTGACTGTTTGTGGTGTATGATGTTGACGAATGTTATGCCATGCACACTATATTAGCATATTCTCTTTAGGTTTATAAAATATTGTTTAGCCATGTATGCTATTCATGAAAGTTATGTTTATGAAAGAATGCAGGTACGACCCATGTGTCATACGTATATTTCATGGTTTAAAGTTGTGGGGACTTCATACATTTTGTTGTCATGTGCGTCAGGATACTTCACCCTTACGATGAGTAAAAATGCATATAGTATAATATTGTGTACACCATCCGTGACTTTTTCAGTAGTGTGAGTGTGCGCTAGTTAAAAAGCCTATCTGACCGTCCGATTCCCATGCATTTCACCCCTTTTTCGACTTCGGTCAATAACCCTTCCCCTTTCCCGACCAATATCTCCACCCCATTCTCAAACTCGAACCACATGTTGCCAATCCCCTGCCCGGCCGCAGCCGCCACTGCACCGTCGAAACACATGTCGGCGACGGAGGCGTATTCGTATCCTTTCTTCATCATGGGCCCCACTAATCTCACTATCTCTGCTCTAACCTTGTTGTAAGCTTCATCTACCAAATACGTCAAATCCGAACCGGAGTCGATCATGGTCTGACCAGACCCAGATGTGTCCAGTTTTAAAAACGGTTGGCAAAATGTTGAGTTGGTTTTTGGCTATTCTTATTCCCTTCATTGGGAGGGTGTAGGCCAGTTTGTCAAGATTCGGGGCGCGTTGACTTTGGGAAAAAGTCAACATGTTGACGTGAATTTGGGTTGTCTCCAAGGTAGAACAACCCGGTTTAGGGTTGGATCCGACCCGGGATGCAATATGAAAACTTGGATATTTTGGCTTGGGAGATGAAAGAAAGTCGTCGAGTATTCATTCCCAAAATACCCCTGTTTTCGGTGGAAGCCTTAGCGCAGCCGAGAACGACAGAAGGGGTAGTTAAGGAATTAGAGAAGGTGAATTTTTCAGTGACGAGATTACCCTCGGCCAAGGTCCCATCGGCGTAGAAGTAGGAGTAGTGGCAGAGGCGACGTTGGTCACAAGAAGTGGGAAGGGTAAAATCGGGAATTTGAGGTATGCAGAGAGAGGTGTTACGAGGAAGGAGAGAGAAAGAGGAGGAGCGAGAAGGGTCAAACATAGTAATTCTTGGCTTCACTAATTTTCCATTTACTTCGCCGCGGCATTGAGTCCAGGACAGTTGGCTGCCGGTGTCTAGGACCATGTCCATCGGCTGCGGCGGCGTTCCGATGGGAAGAGAGACGACAAGGGCATTGGAGTATTTGAAGGGGAGCTTGGCGGAGGCAGAGGATGGGGAAAGGGAGGGCTTTTGGGAGAGAGAATGGGAGGTGAGAGAGAGGGAGTTTGATGGTGAGAAGAAGAGAGAGAATAGGGAGAGAAAGTGGAGAAAGAGAGGCATGATTATGGGTTCGTAAGAGTTTCTAAGTTGAATACGACTCACGATCGAAATACACCGAAACAAAAACAACAAATTGATAGAAGCGTTTCTTGAGTTATTGTCTCGATATATTTTGATCGTGCAAGTCATATCCAACGTGTTTTTGGAAGGAGGTGGTGCAGAACTTAAAATCCTATTACAAGTTAGTATACAAATCAGTTGTAGTTTTAACAAATGTGTGGTAGAAGTTTGAAGATCCCAACCGAGAATAAAATTATTTGTTTTTAGTTTGACCGTACATGTGATAGATTCAATGAATTGAATTAAGTCGATGGTGACAAACCGAGTGAAATCCTTGTTTAACAATAATATGATAGTAGATTTAATCTCGATGAGTAGGATCAAACCTTGATGACGTTGGGAGCCAGTTTCGGAACTAAACCTCGATGAGTAGGATCAAAATATCAACTTAGAAATTTTAGTGACTGCTTAGGCTAATCAAGTTAGTGGTTTAATTATTGAATTGGTTGGATGAACGGTATGAAGTATGAACAACATTCTATGCTCCGTACACGTGGCGTATTTGTGACTATTTGACGTGTGGTGTTATGTTATGTTATAA